TTGAATTTGATGTGGCTGCGTTTAATTAGTCTTCTACAGAATGTTCAGGGTCTGTGCCTTTGAATACCATTAATGGTTTATTTGATGTTATTGATGATCCACCCATGAGGTATGGATTTATAGTCATCTGTAGTGATTCTGCGGCATTAGGCATTTGTGAAAATTTTGTCAGTTGATTTTTTGTTATTTCATGTTGTAAATAATATGGTAATGGTATTTCATTTTGCATTTCTGTTGGTTGATATTAATTAGTGTTTACTGGGTTTTGCCTTTGTATTGGTTGATATGATGCTGTATAGGTTGGATTTTGCGTTTGCAACAGTTGGTGATTTTGTGTATTAGCTAGGTTTTGTGGATAAAATTTGTATTTCGGGATGCTTGATTTGGTCGAAGTGGTTTTCCGCGGTATTCTTTTGTATATGGTGCGAAAATATCTGGTTGATAATGATCATCATCATCTGATGATAGATAATTAGGTGTATAGTAAGGTGCTTTTTTGTTTATTTTGGTATGGTTGTTTACTGTTTTTATTCTGTTGAAAAAATGGGTAGTTTTCACTTGATCTGTTGGACTTCGTGGGTTGTCATTAAATTTTACGAAATTTGATGTTTGTTGTTGGAAATTTTGTCGTTGTAAAAATGAAGGATTTTGCGGGTTTGTACGAGGAGGTTTAAGTTTTTGTGATCTATTTACGTAGATATAATTGTGTTCTGCAAAATTACTTCTGGTGAATGTTCTTGTTTTTGTGGAGGTTTCTTCGTTGGTCTAAATGTTTGGTAATCCATATGTGAATATTTTGGAGCAACCGAGGGTTTAACCGTAGATTGCAACGTTACTTGAGGAAATATTGAAGTCTTTGGTTTTGGTGTTGTAAGGTTTGGATGTATTGGTGAAGTACTTTGCTGTGTAGTTGTTACAATTGTTTCAACTGTTTCTTCATTTATAAAATGTGATGGTGTTTGAATATCCTGTTGTGTAAGATTTCTAGTTCCATTTAAATTTTCTTGTTGTACAAGAGTTGAACTTAAACTATTATTTTGGCTTCTATCGGGTAAAAATGAGTTATAACTTAAAGGTATTGCTTCTGTTGTGAGTGGAATTATTTTTACATAATCTTTGTGAATACTTATTGTACTGATTGTTTTGACTTGAGATGTCTATTGGAATGTTCAGGAATAGTGGATGAGACCAATCAGGGTCCCAAATGTAATCTGATTTTTCGGCAATGACAGTGTCATCATTTGTACTTCGGGGTCTAAATTTTTTTCGTGCTTGTGCAATTAAATCTATATTGTGGGTAAAATAGTCATTCATAAACCATGCTAAGATTTTTGTAAATCGTGTTTGACATTTGGTGAAATTTCATTGTTTGAAAATTTTTCACGAATTGTGTTCAAAAATGCTGAGAGTGCGGCAATTTCATTTCGTACATTTGTTTGTCTTGATTTTTGAACCGGTGATGTGCTTTCGGTTTCTGTTTTTTCTAGTATAGATAATTAATTATATAGTATTGCCAAAACATTGTTAGTGAAAACTGAATTTGCTCTCTGTGAATTTTGATGTTGTATGTTTTTAATGTATTCTGTGAATACTTTTGAAAATTCTATGTCGACATCATATGTTTGGATAACATATTTGCCATGAAATTTACTTGCTGTACTGAGTTCTGTGGTGTAGATTCCATATTGTTGGGTTAAGTTAGATATTCTTTTTATATAATGATCGAAAATTTGTCTTTTGATTTTTATTTCTGGGAATTCTGCTTTACATGGGCTAATCCCTTGTTCAAATATATTTACGATCAGATTATGGCAAAATTGTATTTGTCCTCTGTCTTCAGTGAGTGGAATGATGATAAATGGGAAAACAGAGTCTTCGTCTGGACTTTCGTTACTTGGGTTTTGGCTCATTTTTTCGTTTTATGATTATGACTGTTAGTGCGTAATGTTCAATGTGTCTGATTGGTTGGTTCCAACTGTATAAACGTACTGGTTTATTTTTGTATATCTTTTTTATTCTTTTTTTCCTTGTTTTGATGAATGTGATGTAGCTTCTGAGTCGGAAAAGTATAATCGATTGTGAACTGGGTGATTTTTTGTTTGTTTGTGCGGTGTAATTACAAGATCGTATGCTTCATTATTTATCTCACAATTGTGTAGTACGATTGTTTGTTTATTTCCTAAATTGTTCAGTGACATAAGGTTTAGGATGAAGGGTGCAAGATTGTTATTGGTGATTTTAATATCCTAGACTGTTAGTCCTTACGATTTTTTGGTTAGCTTAACCTGGGTCTTTTATGTAGTGTTGGAGAACAAAGTATATATCGATTTCGAAGAATGATTGTTACTTTCTCGCGGCTATTCTAAGTTAAGGTGTTAACTTGCTTAATCTTACTTAGGGGTAGTGATTGTGTTCAAGGGTTGGATAATAGTAAATCGATCCACAAGGTTCAGGTCAGGTATACTTAGAACATAGGTAGTTCGTTAGATACTATTTTAATACTTACTAAGATTTAAGATTTAGCCTGGGTTAGGTAAGAGAGGATGAATAACCGAAGTTCGTCACTGTTTAGCTTAATTTTAATGGTTAGCGTGATTGAAAAATTTCTATTAGTCCTGGGTCTTTGAAAGGTTTGGGTAGTGAATCGACGTTTGAGTTCGTTAGACACTTTTTTAATCGTGCGGGGGAGAACAAAATTGTTCTATTTGATCCAAGGATAGGCCATGATGATCAAGATATCAATTTTTATGGTATAAAATGGATTTCATTTAATTATTTAAGGGAGATCCAAGGAAATCCAAGGGAGATTAGACACTTTTTTAATCGTGTGTGGGAGAACAAAATTGTTCTATTTGATCCAAGGATAGGCCATGATGATCAAGATATCAATTTTTATGGTATAAAATGGATTTCATTTAATTATTAAAGGGAGATCCAAGGAAAGCCTTGATGATCTAGTTTAAGATTGAACAAGTTGAAATTAAATAAAAAGAAAAATTTGGATGAGCCTTTAAAGATTAATTAAATTTATTTGATAGAAAGGCTTGGTGTTTTATGATATATTAGTGGTTTATTGATTGCTGTTATGTTTAGGTGATGAAGCTGGGGATGCCAGGATGATTTATATATACTAACAATTTATGATCATGTTAACTAATTTTTATTTTTCTTTTCAATAAATATATTTTTCAGATATCTTTTTGAATTTTACTGCAGTTTTAGAGGAAACAATTTGAGGTGTTTTTTAAAATCGTTATTGTACAATAGTAAATGGGATTTAGCGCCTGAAATAATCATTGAAGATTTTTTTTCAAGGTTTCTATCTTTGCAGATGAAAATCTAAATTCATTGCTAGTAAAACTTTAAATATAAAAGTTTGTTTTGGCTTTTGCCGTACGACCATGAAACTTGATGGTAAGTTTCTTCGTAGTCGTAGACCATCTCTTGTCGGAGGCCTTCTTCCAATACCTGGTAGTTCTCGTATTGTACGGAATAGCAGCTCTGATCTATTGAGTCGTAGAGACATTTCAATTAAATTATTATCATGTAACATTTTTTTAAAAGTTTTTGTCTATTTCTAATCTATCTGTTAGTTCTAAGCTAATTTGTTTTTTAAGGTCTTGTTCGAGACTTACGGCCGCACCAGATGAGTTAGGTTCGAGGTGTTACTCATAGAGTAATTTCGGATAGGGTACACCGTCTGCTCGTCACGCTATCTTATTTTCGGCCGGATAGATTCGTGCAACTTCTTAGTCTAATACCGATCCTAATCTTACTCTTATATCTACTAGTCTCAGGGTGTTTAACTAGTCTCTGCTAGGCTCAAAAGATCTAGACTATACTGGCTTATTGCGATTGCTAAAAGTCTCTTGGAGAGGTAACTAATTTCTAAGTTAAATTCAAATCTCTCTGGTGCTGAAGTTACAAGTAATTTCAGCACTTACAAGTAAGTGGGTTGTTAGTTAGATGGATCGTGATTGGTTTATATTAAATATTTTATAGAGATGAAATATCCAATTTATAACTAATAATAAATATAGTTTATATCTGGTTCCAGTTTCAAGATTTACGAAAATTTCGATGAAGTTCCCAAAAAATAAGAAAAAAAAACTATTTTTTTTTTCAATGCTTTCCCAAACAAAGACGCAACATGGTTTCAACTGGTTAGAATTGCATGATCCCATAGAACCGCAACGGTTTCTCTGAGTCTGCACGCTCGCTCGCTTGCTTTACCGGTGCCATCTTTGACTTTGCTGAACTTTGCAAACATCACCATTTAAAAAACATATCAAACTTAATTCTTTGAGGTCTGAAAATACCTATTTTTCTCTCACAATTTGAAGTTGTCCCATTTTTGTCGCTACGGTTTGATCATGAAACCACGATTTCATCGACGCAGCATCGTTAATCGACTAGCAACATGTATCTTCCGCTAGTTGTGAACACAAATATCAATTCATAGTTCTTTCACTCGCTTCTTTTCTCGTCGGCTCATCCAAAAGGAAAAGAAGCACATGCACTGTTGTATTCTTCGATCAAACAGTGCTTGGTTTGAACCGCAAACAGTGCTTGGTTTGAACCGCAAACAGTGCTTGGATTGAAACGTGGTTCATTTATACACCTCTTTGTTTTGATTCAACCACAAAACCAGAGCTGAACTCCCCCTTGAGTACCATATTTTTGGGTTCCAGAAACAACTACCAAGACCCTTCCGACTTTTTGAACCACTGGTTTTTACATTTTCATTGCTTGACTTTAATTTGACTTTAATTTTTCGGCTCAAATCAACCATAGGCCCTGCGTGACTATAGATTTTTGGTCGCACTATGACATCTGGTTCGCCCACTTCGGTCGAAACATAAAATGGAATCCTCGACTCGGGACATAGTCATAACCTTCGCTGTATAGATAAAACTGCAAAGTCATTTGTTGGAAGAACTTTCTGAACTGTTTTCGAACAATCCAAAAGTTATATTTATAAAACAGATAACTTAGATTAACTCAATCCCAAAAACAAGTAAAATGTTCTTTCACTACAAATGATTGACTAACTGAATACATCTGCCATCGACTTGGTAATTTTTATTTCAGAATAGCAAATTAGACACTAGCCTTGAGCTTGAATCGCGAAGCCATTCCATTTAGGCAAGTTTTTTTCTCTCTTATATTATTCAGACCTTCAATATTTCTGTTTCGTGTGGTTTTTTTTTCAAACCAACCACTTTTTAACTAGCCATTTATTCACGGAGTTTTTTTACGCCACCTGAGCTCAAATTTGAAACAAGATTTCAAACATGTGAAAACTATCCCCTCACACGCTATATAAAGGACAAAGTGACAGATTTTGCTCCTAGTAACAATTCAATTAAGGCAAATAAGCTTTCTTCAACCAAATTGGAGCAAACAAGACTGCTCGTATATCAGGACAAAGCCCTGAATGTTCCAACTGTCCCGTAATTCATACCGAATAAATTTTGAGAAAAGTAAATATTGAAAATCTATAAATTTTGGACAAAAACATAGTGTGAAATTGTGAATATGAAAGTAATACGACCGATAAACTAGCCTCATTTCAGTTTGGATACATTTTGTTGTGCGGGATAATTTGCCACGCATAAATAATTCGCGTTACGCTCTCAACCTTATGAATAAGCCATTCAAAGCGCGCATAATTTCGTAAAGAAAATTGCCAATTTGGCAACTTTCAAACTTCAAAAACTTTACAAAAAACAATTGGAGCTAAAATTTGTTTGAACCCAGGAAGTTGATATCTTCAATGGAGTATGAGAAGTTTTTGTTGAAAACTATTATTTTGATCAGCGAAAATTGACTGAATAAAAAAACCACACCGAGCATAAATATTCCGTTTTCTTCGAAAATCGGAACAATTAAATCTCAGGTTACGCGTTAAAAGAGCGAAATATATCGCGAGTTAATTGCCTAAAATTGGCTATAAAGGTAATCTTTAAACTACCATACCCGCATCCAAGTTTAGGCGTAAATAATCGATTATAACGGATTATTATGATGATTTTTTGACAATTATAATCGATTATTATTACCAAATGCGATTTATAATTGATTATAATCGTGATATTTTCCAAGAGTTTATAATCTCTTATAATCGATTATAATTGATTATAATTGATTATAGTTCTTACTAAAAACCCTTAAAATCAATTATAATCGATTATAATCGTTTATTTTGCCAAAACTTTCCTATATTCGAATTATATCTTATGGGTTATAATTTTTGTGTCAATAATAAAATCTCTAAAAGAGAGATCTCTTGAACACTTTGGTTCATCTGAACACAAAGTTTTACCACGGAAAAAAAATTTCATAGAGATCCTTTCATATAAGTGGAAAGGTTCTCGCAGTAGATGAAAAAAAAACTTTCCGAATCAAACATGAAACTAAATCAATTTGCTGATGTTTTGGTGTTTAAAAAAGCTTAAAATATGCATCTCAAAACAACTGTAATGGGGAAGAAATGAAAAAAAGAACAAATAAAATGAAAACTTTTAAAATTTGAATCAAGTGGAAAAATTTTAACAAGGCTGCTCGTATCAGGGCGATCCCCAAATGTTCCGACCTTTAAGGTTTATGGAGCAGTAATAACATAAAAAAATTAAATAAAATAAAAGAAAATGAAATTTTTTTTGTAAAATTTGAAATTTTTTAATGAAAATCATCCCCCCACACGCCATATAAAGTACAAAAAGATAGATTTTGTTTCTGCTAACAAATCAATTATGGCAAATAAGCTTCGTTCAACCAATTTGGAACAATTTCTAAGACGTACACAAAAAGCATAAAATATAAGCAATTTAGATGCAACTTCGAAGACAAAAATGGACACACAAAAGGGATTATAATCAATTATAATCAATTATAATGGATTTTTGTGCAAAACTAAAAAAATAGAAATTTGAATAAAAATAATGGATTATAATCAATTATAATCGATTATAATTGTATCAAAAAATAGACGAATAAATAATCGATTATAATTGATTATAATGGATTATAATTAATTATAATTTGAATTTAAAAAGAGAGATTATAATCGATTATTAATTGATTAAAATTGATTGTTTCTCAATTATAGTGAGACTGGTACTAAAATCGTAATATAATCGATTATTAACGCTTGAAACTGGATGCGGGTAATTTTGCAAAAGCTGATCATAGGCGAAAAATCTCAGGACAACAAGTCATTTCGAATCATTTTTGAAAAATGCGTCGAAATTTGTCTGAAAAAAAAACTGATCTGAGCACAAATATTTTGTTACTTTGTTATGAAAGTCAGAACCATAATGATTAACCTCTGATCAATATCTATAAGCAAACTGAGGGTTTAAATTTTCCAGCTTAGCCAATTTGAGACAATTAACGCGCTACATTCTTCTTGCTACAAACGCGTCAGCGGCAATTTGTTTCAGCTCAGAAAACATTTTAAATTGCAGTGAAGTAGGCTGCTTAGTTTGATGATTACATTACTAGACTCAAAATAAATCACGATAAAAATTACAGGTGGTATTGATCAGACCCTATTCCTGGAAAAAGTATGTTTCTGGACATATCTCAAATAATATAAAACCACTAACAGCTCTTATTAAGTGAATAGCGCAGGCAAATAGCTATTTTGCAAGACGTGACCTTCGTTGCGCATAATTTGACGTTGATCAATGATTTTTAAAGTGAGGTTGAATTCCTTTTCATATTGACAATGAAAAAAAAAATTTCAAAATGAAATAAAAAAGTCCATCAAACTTGCTCTGTACTCGCAATTGTTGGTATTAGCGCGAACGTATGAATATTTTGACTGCCTTTGTAGACGTTCAAGGGAAGTCAAGTTATTCAAGTTTTTACCCTAAGACCATTATTTGAGAAAACATAGTAAGTTTGATGGACTCTTTTTAGTCATTTTGAAGAACTTTTATAAATTGTCAATGTCGAAGATAAATCAACCTCATTTTAAAAATCCGGGCTCAACGTCAAGTTATGTGCAACGAGTGTTACGTCTTGCATAACCGCTATTTACCTTCGCTTTTCGCCTAATAAAGACCGTCATGAAATTTGTTGGTGGTTTTTTTTAAATCTCAGATAGGTCCAAAAACATACTTTTGCCTGGAGTAGTGTCTGATCAACACACCGTCTGTAACCCGTCCAGAACATTTGTCCAAATACAAATTACTAACTACGAAATTCAGAAAACTCAGCCAAAAATACAAACAAACTGCCAGAATGCTTTTTGGGGGATGATTAGGGGCGGATAAGACTGAGTTTTTGGGGAGGAAGTGTCTGGGGTGCAAATGGCTGGTCACGGGAGCAAAAATAACGCCAAAGGTCCTCACGAAATTCCTAGTTGGGAAATTAACAGCGTTTCTTGATAAAAAATGGTAAATACATCAAATAAGAAACGATTTCCTTGGTATCTCAACTACTTCTCTAATTGATTGTGCGAAGACTTGTTTGGAGTTTGTCACGAGCAATTTATGAAAACTTATTTGGTTTACATGTAACACCTTGTCAATTTTTAAAATTATATATAAAAAAAACGCTTTGTCTGTTTTTTGCTTCGAATGAAATTTTGAGTATTTTATTTTTACCGCAAAGTTTTGCATCAAATACACGTCAACTCAGTGTTAATGATATATAAAGTTCGAACTTTGTGATTCGAGCAATTTCAGAAAATCTTTCAGGATAATTCCCGAAATTACTTAACTTAACGCATATTCCGGCGTCACTCACAATTCAGCTCAAAATGGCAGAAAAACAAAAATAATAATGTTTTTCTACCTTTAGGCATATACGACCGTACAAAGTGAAAAAAAATGTGTGGGATGCCTTTTTATTCGAACAAACTTCGTGTGGGGGCATCCTCTTGAGGGGCAACCTGGCGCTCAGCCTTATACCCGTGTTGAGGTGTTCGACTTATATTTCGACCGTACTCGGTCGAACTCATGGATGTTGTTTGACCCAAAAATCCATAATTGAAAACACACCCTTTCGGTCGAACATTATTTCGAAACATAGTCGAAATCTTGGTCGAAATATAGTAAAACACTGATTCGAAAGATAGACTAATGCATAGTAGAAACATAAAAGAACACTATTTCGAGTCATAGTCCAACAAAAATCCAATTTATTGAAGTCGAACGCAAATTTAATGTGGTCGAAACGAAACAGTCGAACAAAGAGTTGAACAAAATGCTAGGTCGAAATATTGTCTTATGCAGTCTCAAAACATAGACGAACTCGGCAAATGGGCTACTCATGATCTAAAACAAAAACCCGAGAAGCGATTTTTTGCCCAAAAAAAAAAATTTGATATTGAAGTTATGATGTGCTGAGAAAAAATCCAAATTTTTGAGCCATTCAAATCGATCAACTTGATTAATTAAAAAATAAGTGTATTCATGTCAAAACTAAAATTTCAACTCATTTAACTAATTGTTGGTGAAAATTATCAGGGTAGATCACTTTCTGAATTGCGTAAATTACACACAATCTTAAAAACATTTGATTGAAACATAGTCATTTTTGGTCCAGTCAATCGACACAGCACGCTTGCGACGAACACAGTCGAAAACAATTGTCAAGTCGGTGGAAACAAAGCCAGCTGGATCGAACACGTTTTTTATTTGGTCGAGTTGGTCAAAAAGAGCACGCTCGGGTCGAACACAGTCGAATATTTATTTTTGCTTTGGCCCAGTCGTTCGATACAAGTCAGTTTGTGTCGAGTTGGTCAGAACATAGCATTGTCGAACAGTCGAACACTTTTTTTCCCTTGGTCCAGTCGGCCGAAAGATGAGTAGAATACAGTCAAACACTTGTTTCCTTTGGTAGAGTCGGTCGAAAGATAGAACTCATGGGTAGAAAACAGTCGAACACTTTTTTCCATCGGTCGATTTGGTCGCAACATAGCATTCCTGGTTCAAAAACAATCAAATCCATTTTTAATTTCGTCCAGTCAGACAAAACATAGCCACTTTGAGTCGAGTCACTCCAAACATAGCATGCCTGGGTCGATCGCAGTCAAATATTTTTTTTCTTTTGGTCGATTCGGTCGAAACAACGCACGTTTGGGTCAAACAGAGTCGAGTATTTTTGCAATTGGTTCGAGTCGGTGAAAAAAT